ATCTACTGTCTGGGCTTGGACGTAAGAGCGTTCTTCTCCTCCTGTCCTGTATTTGGGGTTGGAAACAAGGACTGTCATCTCATCCTGGATTTGGGTAATTTGCGCACCCATCCCCCCCTCTCCCCCTCCCCCCCCTCCCCCCACCACAACTGACACCCCTTCTTCCCGGCACAACCTTAAAAAGACCTCTGCTTTGAGACTGTAAATGCCGAGCAAAACAGGGTTTGATAGGTCAAGTACCTACACTTCTATGAAGCCTGAATCTGGAGGCACGAAGTGTTGATTAAGTAGATCCGATCCCAAGGAAAACGCTTGAGCTTTCAGTCCCTCCCAGTTCAGACTATAACATCATCCCATCTTAAATGGTTGGGATGACGTGCAGTCGTTTTAAAAACCTCAACGGAGGCACATTTTTGTGGTTCATTGATCACTGGGGCAAGGATCTACCTTTTTTTTTTAATTAATGAGAAGCTGACTTATATATTCCAAAACAGTAACCTTTGGTCCTTCAGGACATCTGTTAAAATTGGAATGATACAGARAAAAAAAAAAAAAAAGGATACAGAGAAAGAAGATTAGCATGGCCCCTGCACAAGGGTGACATGCATAAATCGACAAATGGTCCCCCCCCAAAAAAAAAACAAAAAAAAAAACAGTACCCTTTGTGTACAAAAAAAACAAACAATCAGTAAGCCTTTGAGAGGGCGGATATGAGGGTTGGCTCTATTCTTCTGGTGCAAGAGCTGATTGCTTAGATAAGCGATCAACCCTGGGAGTTGCAGATCTACCTTTTATTTTTTGCTGGGGCAAGGATCTACCTTTTTTTTTGCTGGGTCCTTCTGTGGCCCTTCCATGACCGAGCAGCCCCGGGCAAACAAGGTGACCCGGGCGGCCCAACTGGTAGCCTAGCCGATACCTAAAAATTGTTCAGTTGATTTTCTCAAGGGATGCTGGGCTGGTTCCCAGCATGCGTTGCTCCTCGCGAATAGATTGGAGTATTGTCTCAATTTGTTTCAAAAATAGGATTCGCCCGACAACCTAACCGTTGGGATGGAGCCAGCAAGAATAAGCTGCTATGGAGGGGGGAGGGTGTTAGCACCAGAAGGATTCTACAAAGACAAAACCTAAACTAATCAGTTACTGCTTGGCCAAAGCCCTGGCCAATAGGATGATAGAGGTTACAGAAGATATCATCCACTGGGCCTGGACGGGCTTCATACACAGCCTCAACATCCAGGAAGACATCTTCCATGTAAACAAGATGATCAAATTGTCACGACAGAACAAACAGAATGTGGCCTTCATATCCATCGGCTTGGAGAAGGCGTATGATCACGTGGATTGGGTTTTCCTTTGCAAATGTTTGCAGAGGAGGAATTTCTCCTCTCTCTTTGGTCGATGGGTAGGTATCCTCCACCATAACGCCACCACCCGAATACAAGTCAATGGTTTGCTCACCCCAAAGATTAGGCTGCACCGCTCAGTCAGACAAGGAGACCCGATTGCTCCCTTCCTCTTCCTAATAATCATGGAGGCCCAATCAAGAAACTTGAGGAAACTTTTATGAGGCTGCACCCCAGGTATCGGACCCCCAATACATATGAGGCGCAAACATTCCAGAGGAGGCCACACTGGTGTGCTCTCTTTTTGTTGACGACCTCACAATTATGAAGGAGGCCACTGCACATGATTTGGAAGAGTTGTAGAACCTGATGGATAGATTTTGTCGGGTGTCTGATATGTGGATAAACTGGGGAAATAAAACATTAGGGTGGTGGATGCACCATGAACGGGGCAGACTGCCCGAGGACCCCCAAATCACATGGCTTCGATTGGAAGCCCCGGTTAGGGTCCTGGGGGTATACTTGACCACAAGGGAAAGCCAACCACCAACCATGAGTCGGTGGAAAACCCTGCCCTGGCTAAATTAACATAGTGGAATAACAAGCACACCTCTCTTTTCCGGCACGCTCTAGTGATTAACAACGTGGTACTGGCGTCCACATGGTACAAATCTGTCTTGTGGCCACTAAGTGAGAGAGCGTTAAAATCACTTAAGAGGTACGTGGCCGCCTTCCTCTGGCGGGGAGATGGTGAAAATGGAAAGGCTATCTGTCAGGTTGCCTGGGGCTCGGTGGTCCAGCCTAAAGAGGGGGGCTGGGCATTATAGACCCTCCCACCCAATGCCAGGCCTTGAGCATGCAATGGATCAAACGACTGATCTTCTCAGTCCACAACCCCTGGAGGCCTTTAGCACTAGCGCAGATCACCCGGCTAGCTCCCGAGGCCCCAACTTAGGTGGACCCCCTCACGTGGCTAGAAGACCGCTACCAGGACAAAAACGTACCTTCGGGAGAACCTCGCTCACAATGACTTCCGGCCACACCTCCTATGGACCTGGAGAAAGCTCCCCCTTCTAGACCGCTCCCTACCCTGAAGATGAGAGGAAGTCCTCTGCCAGCCCCTCTTCGGCAATGATAAGGTTCCTCCGGAGGGGGGG